ATTTGATGCAAAGGTGATATAATACAAAGAATAGTGTTATAAATGTAGATACATTTAAAAAAAAAAAATACAAATATGAAAAACTTTCAAGGATTTATGATGCTGATGACCGTTAAAAACGTCATCACAGTCTTGTGAAAAGGGTTGGCAAGATGTGGGCAAAAGCTTTTTATGGTTTACAGTAAGGATGCATATGTACTGCGGATGCAGGTTTACCAAACAGGACCCGTGCAGGACCCTGCTTTAAACTGCTTTACGTCTCTCCGTCAGATAACCTCACCTGTATAATGCGCCATTTACAGGTATTTCCCTAAACCGACACACAGCTCATATATTTTTTCGCCATGGGGTGAGAACCTAATGACTATGAAAACGATTGTTTATTTTAGATAATTATTATTTTATTTCAGTTAGTTTTGCAGTAACTGTTGTTAGTTTCGTTTCGTTTTAGTTTTTCATTTATTTTTATGTTTTTATTTTATTTCAGTTTACGAAAATGTTTTTTGTCCAATCGTTTTCGTCTTAGTTTTCGTTTTCGTTTACGAAAATAACCTTGCTACACAACAGCAATATAGCATTTTGTGACACCCATTCTTATTGGAAGAATTAGCTTGTTACATTTTGAAAAGAGCTGCTGAAAAATGTCCAAGCCTGCATTCATTTCTTCCTTCAGTAGAACGCAAAATAAGATATTTTGAAAAATGTCTCTGAAAAGTGATCTTTGTCTATATTGAACAATACAAGTCAATGGGTTCCAATATTGTTTGGACTCAAACTTCTTCAAAATATCTTTGTTTATTCCACGCTCCCATAGAGGAATGTGCTTATCACACTCAGGACAGTCGTGATGGATGAATTTAGTCCTATCTCTGAAATGATTATGACGGCAGTAGCACTTTCTTCCTCAGGCAACACCTGCACTTGTTTGCAAACAGTATCTGTTGTCTTATCTCACTCCTTGCCTTTATCTTTATCTCCAGCCCTGGGGTTTAGGAGGTTGAACCCGAGATGTAGAATGTTAGAGGTCTTCGAGGCAGATGCAGCTCGTAGAGGTTTAATTGGATGGAATAATGTGCTTGCACACTGAGCGGTATCTCAGCCTCAGTGTCACAGAGCACAAAACCCCTACTGACCCCTGAAGAGCTGGAGTTAATCAGTGTATATTAACTGAAGCCGCAGCCTCTGTTTCTGTTTTTGTCTTCCTCCTATCTTGAAAGTGCTTTTCTGCAGTGTTGTTCTTTAATTTTTATGTATATGTCTTAATGTCTGTGCTCGCTCTATTGTAGTCTCACTTTGGGCTGCTCTTCTATAAATGTACTAAATGGATAATGAGCAATACAATTAAGGCACTTTTTGGCTGCAGGATGGTAAGACACTTACTGGGAGCGGTATTGTAGTTTGTAACAGTCAAATTACTAAAACCATAAAAAGGATAAAGGCTTTTTAGG